GGAGCTTTACAAGCTCCTGACAGCCAAGGACTTTCGGACACGAATGGAGGGAGTGATGCTCCTCCTAAATCACTGCAAAAGCAACCCGCAGTTCATCTCCACTAACATTGTCCAGGTATGTGGGGCATCTCTATTGCTCCTTTCCCATTAGCTCCCTCCCCGAGCCTGTACCAGTAAAGTTAACATAGTGTGTCTTGGCACTACATACTAGCTGTTTGGGACAGGCCGGTCCCTTCTTAGCCAAAATAATTTCATTCAACTCCAGGCTTCAGGGCAATTTCAGTTTCAGGCCAGAGGTATTTCTCTGGCAGGTGCCTATTGCTGCTGTTTGTGAGATGATGACAGAAGTTACTGTTGCTGCAGCTTCTGCTGTCTCCTGCTACCAGTTAGGCTGACATAAAGGAAATCCAGCCACTGAAAGCTTGGCTGTTAGCGTCTAGAAGAAAAATGGCTTGAGATCTAGGAGGGAAGTATCAGGCTAGGTTGATTTAAAAAAAAATAATTTGTTTTTAAAGGATGGTCCTGTAAACTTTATTTTGTCTTGCGCAGACACAACTGTGCATGTTCACTTCTGTCCTTATCCCTTTCCTGCTTGGGAAAGACTGTTCTCACCATTCCTGGGGGTCCTGTTTTCTCTTTGGAAAGAGGAGGAACATGGCTAGAGACAGATCTTCTCTTCCTTCTCCTCCCAACAGCTGCTCGTTTCCAGAAAATGGTGCCTGATAATGTGACTGTCAAGGGACTGAACCTGCTCTAATAAGAACTGCACAGCACATTAAACTTCAGATGCAGGTTCTGAGACAGATAAAACTTGGATCTCATCCAGACACCCTTTTGGCAAAATCAAAACTGCCTTCAGTACTTTAGACAACTTTATGAAAAAATGGGCATCGTAAACACCTTTTTTCCTGCCTGTATACTAAAGATACTGTTTTGCATTACTAAAATTAGATTAATGTAATGATTTACAGGTAACGAGAAACACCATATGAACTATCCTGTCCCCACTCAAACCTCTTAATAAAATATGAAAATCTTTTCAACTATCGTGAGGTGGTGCAACCACTACAGGGAGTAGCCCACAGGAAGACAGTGAAGTTGTGCTAGCAAGTGCTGACCTGACAGAAAGGATTACCTTTATCTTTCATATTGCCGGGTACTTGTTTCTACATCCCTTCTTGAAGCAAAAACATTTTAATCCAGCTTTCATGTCATCTGTTTTCTTAACAGATTTTTGACGTTTTTGTCCTGAGACTTCAGGATTGCAACAAGAAAGTGAACCAGCATGCGCTGGAGGTGCTGGCTTGCATGACAACCATGCTTAGAGATGCCTTACACCCAGTGCTGGTCTCTCTGGTAGCAGCGGTCACAGAGAACCTGAACTCAAAGCACTCGGGGATTTATGCCGCAGCTCTGAAGGCACTGGGAGCATCCATTGCTCACCTAGGTAAGGCTGACCTCTGACCTTGACTTTTCTCAACTTTATCTTTCATATTGCCGGGTACTTGTTTCTACATCCCTTCTTGAAGCAAAAACATTTTAATCCAGCTGTCGTGTCATTTGTTTTCTTAACAGATTTTTGACGTTTTTGTCCTGAGACTTCAGGATTGCAACAAGAAAGTGAACCAGCATGCGCTGGAGGCGCTGGCTTGGACGACAACCATGCTTAGAGATGCCTTACACCCAGCGCTGGTCTCTCTGGTAGCAGCGGTCACAGAGAACGTGAACTCAAAGCACTCGGGGATTTATGCCGCAGCTCTGAAGGCACTGGAAGCATCCATTGCTCACCTAGGTAAGGCTGACCTCTGACCTTGACTTTCCTCAAGTGCGGCTCCTCCATCGTGGAGCCAAGTGAGCACTGAGGCTGTTGATTGCTGTTGTCATCTGTGGAAACGTCCAGCTGCTGCAAGACGTTTATGAAGTCCTGCCTGCATTTTTTCTATCCCAGTCTGTTGTATCACGTTGTGATGTGCAGGTAAATGGATGCTGCTTATCCCTTGGATCACATGTCTGATTATTCCTTCAGTAGAGAGGACATTATAGGGATTATTTTAAGTTCCTGCCAGAAGAGGATGAGGGAAGTAACTAGCATCTGCCATGACTGTTTTCCCCCTTCGTCCTGGGAAATGGCATGCATTTTGTTTTTATTGAGTTGGATTTCTAAGATGTGCATTCTGTTAAGTTTACCTTCACTAAAACGAGATTCAATGAATGTGCTTTTTCCTTTAAACACACGGTGGGAAGGGTGGCGGAGGCTCTTTGTTCTCACTGGGCTTCGTTCCACGCTCCGGCAGTGGCAGCTCTCCCAGGCAGATGTATCTGGCCCATTCTGACCCCCGTATGACAAGCTTTGAACTCAGTTACTCATTTTGCAGTTTTAGGTGGTAGTTTAGCCACATAAAGCCCAAATGAAAATGTCCTTTCAAATTCAAGGATTGAGACCTTGAATTGAATAAGATACTGTGTTATGAAAGAGCGGAGTGGAAATGAGATGAAGGACAAAACGCTTGTTCCGTAGTCAGCCTGGAGGTCTCCACGTGTGTGGGCTTAGAAATGCCTTGGTTCCCTTTTTCCAGAAGGGTAAGGAGCCCATTGTCGTCCCCCTTTCTGGATGCTTGAGGATGGGACCATAAGTATGCCTGTTGATATAAGATATGTACCTGCAGTAGGGAGAGGGTGAGGTCCCAATGTCCCCTGTGTCCTGACCCATACGGCCCGCTGCAGGCTGTGCAGCATGTCTTCTGCTGCCTACTAGGGTCATCCAAAAGCTCTCGGAGATCCTCAGGCTCCATTTGGTTGGGAGAACCTGCCCTGCAGAGTGCACCACCAGCCCATCCCTTACCGCTGTCCAAAAGCTATGTGTTTGAATAGCATGCAAACCTACCACGGAAAAGCAGGTTCCATATAAAGTCTTTGGGTTCTGTGGTTGATGCCAGGTTTGCACATCACTCAC